TTCTTCCTCCTCCTCATTTGCTTCTTCTTCCTCCTCTTTTGCTTCTTCTTCCTCCTCTTTTGCTTCTTCTTCCTCCTCTTTTGCTTCTTCTTCCTCCTCCTTTGCTTCTTCTTCCTCCTCTTTTGCTTCTTCTTCCTCCTCTTTTGTTTCTTCCTCCTCCTCTTTTGCTTCCTCCTCCTCTTTTGTTTCTTCCTCCTCCTCATTTGCTTCTTCCTCCTCCTCTTTTGTTTCTTCTTCTTCCTCTTTCACTTCTTCCTCCTCCTCTTTTGTTTCTTCCTTCTCCTCCTGTACTTCCTCCTCCTCTTTTGTTTCTTCCTCTTCCTCTTTTGTTTCTTCTTCTGCTTCCTCTTTTACTTCCTCATCCTTTTCTTCCTCTTTTGTTTCATCATCTTCCTCCTCTTTTGTTTCCTCTTCTTCTTCCCTCTCTTTCTTTTCTTCCCCCACTTCCTCCACTTCTTCCTTGGTCTCTTCATCAGTGACTTTGTCATCCATCTCACTTATTTTGGGTTCTTCTGCATCTTCATTCAACCCTGAGTCACTCACTTCATTTAATTCTGATTCCTTTTCTTCATTGTCCTCCACTTCGATCTCACCTGGCTGGAGTTCACCTTTATCATTCTCCATGTTTGCACTGCCATTTTCTGCTGCTTCCTCTACGGGATTGCTGGAGACTGTCATGTTGTTCTGAGCTGTTTCTGAGGCACAGATTTCCTCATTATCATCTTTCTTCATCTTCAGGATATGTTGTAAATCAAACGCTTTCATGACTGGGGCATTGGTGGCCACCAATGGGTTTCTTGTGGGCTTGGAAATTCTTTTTTTCCTCAGACAAGAATCACATGGGCAATATTCTTCCTCACTTGGCTGTTCACTAATACTGGCCTCAAAAGCCGTATTAAATGCTTCTTCATCTACATCATATGATAATTCTGATGTGCAAGCCAGCCTGCTCTGGGTTCCATTCTTATCACTGAAGAATGACTTTTCATGCATAGTCTGCAATCGCCGTCTCCTCTGCTCAGTTTGGAGCGTTGACTCACGCCTGAGTGGTTCACAGGGAGGTCTTGGTGTCCTCTTCCCTGCTCTGCTTCTGATCTTCCTCAGCTCCCTCTCTATGCTTTTTTGTATCCTTTTGCTCACTTCCTCCTTCAGCTCTAGGATCATTTCATCCAACTGCTGGTTGTCCTGTAGGTTCCACCTGACTTTGATCTCATTCATGGCACTGACATAGTGAGTCATAAACTCCTTCTCAATTTTTTTGAGCAGTCTCAGGACCCAGGTGGGATCTGGGTCCACTGGGTTCTTTTGGACAAGAGATGTCCCCACATCAGTGTCTGCCTCAACACTGGGCTCTAGGTCTTTTGGAGACTCTTCTCCCAGTTGCTTTTCCAAATCAGCTTTCACTTCTGTCTCACCATTGGCATCACTGATGTTTGTATCATTGGCAGCAGCTAGCTGTTCATCTGCCTCCTCAAGATCTTCTTTTGGGAGCTCATCATTTACAGCATCAGCAACTTGTTCTCCATTTTCGTCTAATTTGCAATTTTCCTCATTTTCTTTTTCTTCCTCTCCCTCCTGACCATTTTCACAGTTACTGCACTGATCCTCCTTATTTTCTTCTGGCTCCTGAACAGACTGGACTTCTTCCTCAGCTTTCAATTTTGAACAGGCTGTTGAAGGTCGGGATGACTGTTCTTCCTTTTCGCCTTCCTCCTCAGCCTCAGCCAGTTCAGTGCCAGTCTCTACAGATTCCTCTTGTCCAGCCAATTTGGATTCAATGGTTTTTGGTTCCAATAATGTGCAATCTGTGGCACCAGCTGCACCCTCTTCTCGTGAGCCACCTGACCCGCTGCTAACATCAACACCAGAGGAAGACATGGGAGTGAAACCGTTATTTATGGATTTTGGTATTTTAAACCCAGAGCCTGCCTTTGGCTGGTCATTTGCTTGTAGGCCTGAACTTGAACCACTTATTTCAGCAGGGCATCCAAACCATAGGGCTTGAAAAATATTTAGCAGCTCCTTATACCTTGACTTATTCAAATGTTTTGATTTATCTGATGTATCTTCTGACTCTTCATCAAGAAGTTGGAGACTGGCAAGACAAGTAATCAAACTGTTGGCAGAATCACTCAGTTTTCTCCCCATTGTGGGGGACACTTCAGGCAAACTGTTTGACCGATCAAATTTTGTTTCCTGTTTCGAACTGAGCAAGGCCTTCATGATCTGCACAGAAGTCTGGACAGAGGTTGGCAGGTCTCTTCTAATGTTATTTTGGCTTGATGGAACTAACTGCCTGCATTCTGCCTGGTTGGCCTTGTCAGCTTCTGACACGACCTCAGAAGTTTGTTCCTGATTGAGGCATTTTTCATCCTCTTCATTAATCACATCAGCTTCAGCTGCCTCTTTTTCCACTTCATCTTTTGCTTCATTTTCTTCCTCCTCTACATTCTTTTTCTCAGCTCTTTCCTCCTCTGAGATTTCTTCATCATTTGTACAATGCGATACCTCAGTGGTTGCTTCTACACATTCCTCTTCTCCAATGTCTTCCATTTCATATTTCATAAGCAGTGTTTCTGAAGGGATCTTGCTCAGCCACTCTTGCACAACTTCTTCTGGAGATGTATTTGGCAGAGCAGATGGCATTAAATCACTCTCTTCCTCCTGTGTGCCCATGTCTTCTAATTCTTCCTTCACTTTTTCTTTGGAAGAATCATTTTCCTCTTTATTCTTCTTGTCGTTTATGTCCATTGTAGTTGATTTAGATCCCAGGGAAGTTGGTTTGGAGGAATCTACAATTTCTTTTTGACCTTTTCCTGTGGTCAGCACTGACTCACTACCCATGCTGCTCACAGAGGAATTCTTCAGCATGGCTGATCGTATTTTTTTGCTACTTGGCTTCCCTTTTGGTGGGGCTGGGCAATGCATGCTGCATACTGACATAGTCTCTGAAACTGATGCTCGGCTGGAGTTTGACATCTTTACATGAAGATTCCTTGTTTTCCTTTGCCTTGATTTGGAAGACTGAGATATATTTGATTGTGAACATCTCTCATCACTTTCCTGGGATATCTGTGTCAACAAACATTGATCTTTTACTTCTGAATTTGAAGAGACTCTTGAACTGACACTTGCAGAATTTCCATTCTTATTCCCAGTATCAGCTAAGTGGTCACCTTTGGAACATAAACTCTCACTCAGACTTCCATGTCTTGAAGAAGGAGTCTCTGAATTTATCTTGGAATGACCTTCTCCAGCTTTTCCATTAAGACTTGAAACACTTGAGCACAGGGATGATGTCTTACTATTTTCTTCTCTCTGACTTCTCCTCTTCGAACCTTTTGAGGATTCACTGTAGCCATTAGTGGTACTTTTTGAGCTTTGCTCTTCAGTAATAACAGCAGTTGCCTCAGCTTCACTAGTAGATGAAATGTTTGAGTGAAAAGAGCCTGAATTATGAGACTTGAGATCTATGACAGATTTTTTCTTAATTTCGCATGAGCTTTTGGAGTAATTAGACACCCTGCTGCATGATCTCAAATCATCTGCATGTAGGGAATTCTTTTTACTGTGAGTGGATTCAAGAGAAGACACAGACATTTCAGATTGTGCATCCAAATGAATATGGTTGTGTTTTTTCTTCTTGGATCCCCTGGAAGAGTGAGAGGCATTGCACGGAATGATTTCATCACTGTCACTTCTCCTGCTGTGCCCATCACTTGCTCCCGAAGGGAGAGTTCCTTGTGTAGAGCATCGTTCACCTTCACTGCTCTCACCTTTAACTGATTGGCTGGGCTTTGTTTTTGCTGACACTGAGCTGACTTCATTGATTTCATTTTCTTCTAGTTCCACTTCTGCTTCTTGAGATTCTTTCTTAGGGCAGGACTCACTGGAGAAGGAGGAGATCACCACGTTGTCTTCTGAATGGTCATCCCGTTCTCTCTTTGCTTTCGGTGTGCTGCAGTTACTCGACCTGCTGTGAACACTGTTAGCAGGACTGGAGCACACGGTGTTATCTTCTTCATTTGCCTTCTGAAGGCTGGAAGAGGACATGCTCCTGCCCACACTACTTGTTTCCTCATGTATGTTCTTTTTGCTTTGCCTGGATTGCAGAGATGACCTTGACACAGCACTCCCAACTCTGCTGCTCTCAACCTCCTCTGCATCCTCCTTTATGCATTTCACAGAGGAAACTTCAAAGCTTTCATCCTCATTTTGTGAATTGCTTTTGCTGTCCTCCTGGTCTTCAGGGGCTTCTTGAGTATCCAGGTTGTTTTCACAGCTTGAGTGTGATGCTAAACCCAAAGATGAAGGCCTCTGACTATTGCTCGTGCTCGTCCGTGTGCATTCTTGCTGGTCTTCTCCATTGGAAGCAGCTGTAGACAAATCACTTCGACACGTACACTTTTTAATGGAACGGTATGCCACCCTGTTCTCTATAGTCTCTGAATAGGATGACGACTCTTGCACAATGTGCTCAGAGAATTCTTCACTGGATGTCGTGTGGAGACTATCCACAGAAGCGATTTTCTTGTGGACTACCCTCCTCCGGGAGGATGTGCTGGAACATGATGACCGTTTGTGCCAGGTGCTCCGTACGCTGGGCTCTTCCCTTTGTGAGCTGTGCATGGGGTTTTTCCAGATGTCATAGTCCTGATGCTTCTTCCCACAGCTATGACAATGAGCCTCGTCACATTCCGATTCCTCAAGTTTTGACATGTAAGAGTCAACGTCACATGGATATAATGAATCATCTGCCTCTGAGCTAACTTCTGGGTTCATTTTGCTTATGGGGTCTACTCCACTGTCCTCCTCTACACCCGACTCTTCACAAGGCATCTGGCTCATCATGTTGGACTTCTTGATCTGGGTGGACCATTGCAAGGTCTCATCATTTAGCAAGCGGAAACGTACTTTCATCTCTACAGACAGACTGCCATCCTTGTTCACATGAACCCGTTTTTCTATGTCATCATTGACCAAGGAGTGGACCAGGTCTCCAGGTTTTGGATGAGAGCAATTGTTTGTGAAAGGTGCACCATTATCTGGTGATGTCATGAGACCATTTGGATAAGACTTTTCTGATGATAAAGAAAATCTCATTGACCTATTGCTTGATGCTGACCGTGGATGAATCACACTTTTTTTGGCTTTCAGTCCAAAGTTCACTGGAGTTTTGGAAAAGGAAAACAAAGGAAAGCAAAGGCAAGGGAAGGGAAGACAAGGGAAGGCAAGGCAAGGGAAGGGAAGGGAAGACAAGGGAAAGGGAAGGGAAGACAAGGGAAGACAAGGGAAGACAAGACAAGGGAAGACAAGACAAGGGAAGACAAGACAAGGGAAGACAAGACAAGGGAAGACAAGGGAAAGGAAGGGAAGGGAAGGGAAAGGAAAGGGGAAAGGGAAAGGGGAAAGAGGAAAGGGAAAGGGGAAAGGGGTAAAAGGAAAAAGGAAAGAAAAAAAGAAAAGAAAGGTTAATACATTTGAATAAGAAATAATATACAGAATAAACCTTTAAAAACAGTGAATATTGATACTGCTCCATTGAAGCTAAACATATGCCAGTTTACCTCATTTGCAACTTTGACTCTGAATAACTGAAGGCCATAAATGTTATGTTTTGAATAAATAGTCTGTAATAAAAGCTTCAATACCTTAGCATTGTTTTTTTGAATCTAAATTGAAACATGTGCACTTTTTTCTTGTTGTTGTATTATATAGTGTAATACATGCCAGGAACAAAAAAAGAAAATGCAGAACAAAGTTTCCTTTTTTTATCACATTATAAATATGCCTTAATTTACCTGAGCATGTTTTCATTCTTACTATTCAGTCCAAAGAATTACACATGGAGAAATGACCTACTTCTTTAGCTAATAGTCAAGTATCTCATATTTTTTTCTGCATCACCTATTTATCCACTCATTATGCCAGGAAGCATGGCTGGGGCAATGTACCCCACAGTGGCACCCATTCCATGCAGATATGTACCATTATGAATACTTATAATACTTATTAACACATAAGGTGCCAATGGAAAGGGAGGAGTAAGCTGCTAATATTTACAAAGAATAGCAGTGCTATCTGTAGAATCAGTAAAATAAGTGGTATTAAGGGTGTTTTAATCCAAGGCAGATATCTATGGCTCAGTGCAGTGATCTGCACAGGTTTATCAAGATGCTAGATCTTCCAGTGCAAGCAGAGTGCATTGCTATCATGCTGTTGCACAAGACATGGGTCTATGTTGTTTCTAACACTTGCACAGCCTATTCAAAGTTCACTTGCACACCTCCAGACAGCCACTTGTTTCTGTGGGCATGTGGGCAGTTGAACGGGGGCACTTCAGGAAGGAAATATGTAACACGGAACACAACAAACAAATCACATGAAGCAGTCCCTATCTGACCATCCCTACGCATTTGAGTCAATAGGTTTATTCATTCTTTTGACGGACAAAGAGCTTTGGTTTATTCTCCTCCCTCCATATTTTTTTTTTCTGTCTTAGACAGTGAGCGTGAGACTCCTCTGTACTTAAATTTCTTCAATTAGTTGTCAAAACACAAGTGAGTCTTCTGGCTCCTACCATTGACAGTGAAGAGGAACAAGCACCTCCAAAGCACCATTCATTTCATCCTAAAACAAACCTGTTGTAGGTGAGATGAATTGCCCTCTGGAAATGGGCAATTTCTCTTAATTGGCTACAGAAGGTAGCTAGGATAATTATCTTTGATGTCAAATAACTCATTATTAGATGTCTAAGAAATACTGTCCCAAGAAATCCATAACGTACCACTTCCTGCACATGACCTTTCTATACAAAAATGTTTTGTTTCCAAAGAGCTACACTGCAGGTAGCTGTCAGTTCTCCGGCATTTGGAATGCCCTTCAAAACCTGAAGTTATATAGCAGTTAGAGAAAGTACAATAACATCTGAGAAATGGAGTGTCCTGCTGACAAATACAAATTTCTAAGATCAAGGCATCCCCATGCTTGCAAATGCAAAAGTGCTAGTTTTATATGATAGACAGACAAAAGGACAGAGGATTCGTGGGAAATCTCCAGGGTTTGGGGAGTCTCAGAGGCAGACACAGGAAAGGAGGGAGTTCTGGAAGGAAAAGGAGACACAGAGATATGAAAGAGCAAGGGAAGTCAGCCAGACACGGGGAGCATGTAAAAGAAAGACTGGAGGGTGTAGGGAGGAAATCCTAGAAGGAAGCCAGAGAAAAAGAAGGGGAGGATGGAAATGCCTGGGAGGCAGAGAGAGGGAAGTGCATTTTGCAAGCGAGGCAGTGCACATGACATTTGTGCAATAGGGCCATACAATAGAGCCCGTAATCTCCATGTTGTGGGGGACACAGGCCTGGAGACAACTTCTGGCTCAAGAGCAGGCCATGCTACGCAATAAGTCCCTGAGAGTTTCTTACTTTCATTGTTTTCATTGATGTTGTTGCCATTGGAGCGGGGAGCCAGGCCGGGCAGCTTCTCAATGGAGTGTTTCCTCAAATTCTCCATGGATACAGGTTTAAATGGTTCCCGGCCCACACACACCAGCACGTTGGGACAGTGAAGTAGGGCCTGCATGCTGTCGATCTAGAAAGAAAAGAGCAACGGGATAAGCTGATGGAGCAGACCAAGGTTTCACTTTCCACGCCCAGAATCAATAGATGTTTAGATAATCCACCTAAAATAAACATGATTATGGAGACAATACAAATAGTAGAGAATTTATGGCTCCACCAGAGGTTATCAGCTGACTCTGTTGCAGCGCAGTTTCACTGAAGAAGTCCTTCTATGTCTTTACCAGAGCTCACAAGACTAGGCAAGGGGTGGAAGGGCCTGCTTAAGAGAGATGACATGTCAATTTTGGAAGGTTTTTCATCTTCTGGGAAAGATATAAGCACAATCAACATGAGATTGAGGAAGGGGATAGAACAGGTGTCTTTTCAGGTTCCCTTATAGAGAATTATCTTTAATTCTTCTAGTTTCTGTGTGGGAAAACAATGCTGCTTCCCAGGTTGATCATTAATTCTCCTCTTTTTTCTGCTCAGGAAGAGAACTGTGACTTCCCCTAGTATTACTGCAAGTGCTGTCTCAAAGATTACCTGCAGCATTCCTTCCTTGCTGCACAGTGTGGGATGCTGTCCCTCAGTGTGGAACATCCCTGAGAAGGACTTCTGGTTCCCCTCATAAGAACCCAGGCTATCAACTGCCTCTTCATCTCCATTTTATGACCTCTTCCTGGGTTACACAGGAAGTTCTTAATATTTCTGGTGAATCTTCTTACAGTAAAGCATGCAACAACAGCTTTTGACTAGGAATAAATAAAATCCAATTCCTTCTCATTACTTTTTATTTACCATTTCAGGGCACAACACCACCTGTGACCTGAGACCCACTGTGTTTGGTGTTCTTAAAAAAAAAGCACGGTAAGAGAGGCTTTGGTTTCTGCTGCTTGCATTAAACAATGTTTTGTGTGAAGCAACAAAAATCCTGTGTCTACATGATTAGAAGCAGGTAATACCTCCCAAAGCTCAATTTATCCACCTATGCCTATTGGCCCTCATTTCTACCAGCATACCTGCTTTTGGGCCATTCATTTCTATTGGAAACATCTAATTTACTCAGAAAGTGTACAGAAAGTCTATAATTTAGTGAATTATATTTTGAGTAGGTTTTTGCATCCTATATATTTCTTTTTCTTCTTTATGTTCCTGTTTCTGTTTTAGTCCTTTAGAGAGTTTTTCCAAGTAGGTAGACAAAAAGAAGAGAGAGAGAAAAAAAAAGAGGAAGAGAAAAGGAAAAAAGGGGAAGAGAAGGAAGAAAAAATATGAATGAAAACCCTTCCAACCCCAGTAAAGAGCAACTTGCCTTCAAAACTCCATAAGGTTTAGTAAATAAACCTTAAGACATTTGTAAAGGTTTTGTAAAGGTCATTTTTCAATGAAAGCTATTTTTTCCCCCAAGATTTTCCCTCACATGGTACTGTGTCTGTATGTGGATATTTCCATCACACTCTTCACTGTTGTGTTGTGTGTGCAGCAAATAGATGGTGCCAATGACGCATCTCCAAAAATCAATGGATCTGAGCCAGCTGAGCTATTGAATTTATATATAATGCACAAACCAAATTCTTTCATATGGAATACGCTTGTGCTATGCTTTTTAAAATAAATGGCCTGTCCCATAGCATATAAGGCATCATCAACTCCTTAGCAGAACTTATGCCATTACTTAATAATAATAATAATAACCTAAGTGTGGAAATTTAGTACTTTCAGTGCTTTGTTGCTGAAAACACGTAGGTAGTTAGAAATACACCTGCAGGTCTTAGAAGAGTTAAAGAAATCCTTTTTCCTGTGTCGATTTGGTTAAATACAATGCCCATTCAGTCAGGAGAGTACAGTCCTGCGAGTTCAGATAATAGTTCACCTCAATTTGCTCCGCAAAACACTTTAGCCACATTTCTATATGAATCCTGTCCTCTTAACAACAAGTCACAAAGTTTCATTGCATGGCTGCAGATGACATCAAGGCAATCAACATGGTGGTTTTTTCACCAGGGATAAATTATCTCCAAACACTGTGTCCCTTCCTTGGTGTCTATCAACTTACGGCTAAGTCAGTGTCTCCTAGGATGGGATCGGTGTTTTGCTTCTCAAATTAGCCCTTTTTTTTAAATGAGATGCACAAAATTATTTCCAATATGAAAGGATGAAATTATGAACCTACAGGCATGTAAGTGCCTCCTCATGCTACTGAATTTGAATTCTGAGCCCCGTTTCAGGCACTGATGGGACTCCCACTGGCTTCCTTGAAGTCTTCATCTTGGTGCTTTCAGCTATGAATGAAGTGTAAAACTAGGAGCATTCTTTTGCTATGCTGCAAGAGAAGCAATCTCGTTCTTCTATTCTTGATGCAACAACCTCTGGTGAGAGAGTTATTACAACTCTTGCATAATTCAATTTCCCATAGAGTTTGTCATCCATTTTCTTTGTTGGAGAGGAAGCAGAACATTAAAGAGCAAATTGGTAAAGTGTTTTGTGATACTGGACTGGAGGTATGACAATGGCACCATGGCTAGAAACAGACACAGTAGCTATCCACATTTTGGAAGAGTGTAAACCCCAGAGGAAGATGAAATATGAGATGTGATTAAATGAAATTATGGAAATGTAATCTGATGTTAACTTGGCATTCAAGAAGAGGTAACAGGGGGAAATGGTCTTGCAGACTCTTGCAATTTCTCTGTTCCAACACATGGGATCCTGTTGTCTGAAGCTGCCTAGGAGCTGAGATGTACCTCCTAGAGCACAGTCCTACTCCTAATGCTATGATGATCCCTTTCGGACCCTATGCTTTGTACAGTGCTTTTCGTAAGCTGTTCTTCTATAAGTAGTGAAAAAAATGATGAAAATTAAGAACCGGCATCCTTCTATAATGCTTGGAAACAAAAGGCAGGACAATAATTGTTATATTTTGCTTCACACTTGGATATTTAGAAGTTAGAAGTTAGGATTGATAGAGCTAGTCAACCAAGGCTATATAGTCCATGTAAAGTGAGTAATGGATGTATGCTGCATTAGCCATCTTTTCAATGTGGTATAGGAGGCACCTGGAATGATTAGGACTGATGTCAATATCTAAAATGAGGCAGACTATTCAAAAGTTGCTAGCAAGTATAATCTGCAATGAATATAGAGTACCCCTCTCCAGGATCCTAGCTCTTAGCTCATTCTGCCATGCTACCTCAATTAGTTTTGCTGATAATTGCAATCATTCTTTAGGAATACAGTCATTTTAACTTCAGGTGTATAATTCACCTGTGGTATAATACTGATATAAGGGAAATCAAAAAAAAAAAAGGACATGTCAAGCTCAAAATACAGGTCTGGCCTGAAGCAGAAAGACCACTGCTACTGTGAAAATTGGTCATTTTTAAGGGACACTTTACTTTCATGTAATCTGTGAAATCCCACGACTTCAGAAGTCTTTGTTGTCTGACCCATATTGTATTGGATTATATATTTATTTATTTATACAGGAAATTCCATTTAAAGATAAGAAAACTCCTCCCTCCTTTTTTTTTTGTGTGTGTGTGAAGGTGGTCAAGCACAGGTTGCTCAAAGAACTAGTTGAGTCTCCATCCTTGGAGATATTCAAAATGTGAGTGGATGTTGTTTTTGTCTCTTTCTCTCCAATGACTGGAAAGAAAGACTAGGCTCCATCTCAGATGCCAAAATCCACATCTACAAAGACTCTCACTTCTATTTTTATTCCTTCAGTTAGATAGAGCTTTGCATGCAGTGCCTGACCTATTGCCCCGTATGGGTAAATGTTACCTACAGTGTCACCTTAAATGTCATCTTAAGTGTTTTGGGTTTTTTCTTTTGTGGTGGATGAGAAAAAGGGGAAAATACCAGGGAATGCCCATAAATCTTGTGGCATGTCTGCCAGCTTCTTTCCTGGATCCCTTGTGTAACTCAAAAGGCTCAAGATGCCTAACCTTAGACAAATAAATTTGTCCTTTGGCATTAGTACAAAGGGAAATGAATTACTCTGAGCTAGATTGACACGACTAACTAGATCTTTGTGGACTATGTGATGATGGCAATATGGATACCTAGCACCAGTAGACGTTATTTGTGTAGACGCTGAAATGAATTTACTTATTCTTTCACTATATTCTGCCATTAACTCATATATAGACAGTGTCTTCATTTCTGAACTGAATCTGAATACCTAGTAAATTCAAAATATTCCAGTCTGCCAGAAGTTAACAGTAAGGACTAAAATGGAAGAAAATGAACTGTTTTTGGTGAAGATCTTTGAGGGGGGTTGGGAAAACATATGAGCAAAATGTTTTTGGATTGCTCAACAGTTTTATCAGGGTCCATTTAAGCCCTCCCTTGAGTTCCCTCAGCGTAATAACCCTGTGATATGAGATCATGGACAGGGTTGTCCACAGTCCAAGACAGCTCAAAATTCAGACATAAAACCTTGTAAGTAAAATATACCATGAAACGATCCATGAAATAAGTTTGAAATAAGCTCCTGCTACAGTTTCACTGCATAACACCTGACAACGAAATGGTGGCTCATCCTACTATAAAGCCTGATCGAAATCTCAATGGCATCTGAGGAACTTGTTGACCTCTGCAGAGTTAGGATCAGAAGCAGAGAATTAGGGAGGTTGTGATGGAAGTTTTGGACTAGAAAGCAGAAAACTTGCTCACTTGAACTGTCTTTGTTCCTGTCACTCAGCTTTTAGTCCTCAAAACACTATGGGACCATAAAGATCAGGTGCTGCCATGCGAAAAAATGCTGCAATTTGCTGTACTTTAAATTTACATACATAGACTATTTCAAGGAAATATCACTTTTGTCTTTATTTTTTATTAAAACGTTTGTACTTAGGACAATAAAATTGTGACTTTGCAAAGCACTAAGCTTTTGTTTACTTGTCTACTTTACCATGCCCATACTGCAGGAACACCTCATCATGGTGGAATACAAATCATGCATGGATTGTTTCAAAACAATTAGGCCTCTCTTCATTTAAAAATGGTCCATAGATATTTCTCTAAGTCCCG